TGCATATAACTTGGCCATTGCATATATCTTGGCCATTGCATATATCTTGGCCATTGCATATATCTTGGACATTGCATATATCTTGGCCATTGCATATATCTTGGCCATTGCATATATCTTGGCCTTTGCATATATCTTGGCCATTGCATATATCTTGGCCGTTGCATATATCTTGGCCGTTGCATATATCTTGGCCATTGCATATATCTTGGCCATTGCATATATCTTGGCCATTGCATTGCATATATCTTGGACATTGCATATATCTTGGACATTGCATATATCTTGGCCATTGCATTGCATATATCTTGGCCATTGCATATATCTTGGACGTTGCATATATCTTGGCCATTGCATATATCTTGGCCATTGCATATATCTTGGCCATTGCATATATCTTGGACATTGCATATATCTTGGCTATTGCATATATCTTGGCCATTGCATTGCATATATCTTGGCCATTGCATATATCTTGGCTATTGCATATATCTTGGCCATTGCATATATCTTGGCCATTGCATATATCTTGGCTATTGCATATATCTTGGCCATTGCATATATCTTGGCCATTGCATATATCTTGGCCATTGCATATATCTTGGCCGTTGCATATATCTTGGCCATTGCATTACATATATCTTGGCCATTGCATATATCTTGGACGTCGCACATAACAAGAGCTTGTTGTAACCATCCAGTGAGTGAAAAGTAGAACATGGTTTTCGTTAAAACAAATACACATGCAAATATGTCAGGTGCCTTAACGATTGTACACATTTTTACAGGGTTTTCTTTTTACAGATGTGAATGGTTTGCTGATGATATGAGAAAGCATGTTCACCAGTCAACAGTACTGATGTTGGCTGTCTATCCGTCTGGATAGAACTGCCAAAGGGGGTGGAGTTGCAATCTACTGTAGAGATAGCCTGCAGAGCTCTATCATACTATCCAGGGCTGTGCCCAAACAGTTTGAGCTCCTACTTCTAAAAATCCACCTTTCCAGAAATTAGTCTCTCACTGTTGCCGCTTGCTACAGACCCCCCTCAGCCCCCAGCTGTGCCCTGGACACCATATGTGAATTGATTGCCCCCCATCTATCCTCAGAGTTCGTACTGCTTGGTGACCTAAACTGGGATATGCTTAACACCCCGGCCATCCTACAATCCAAACTAGATGCCCTCAATCTCACACAAATTATCAAGGAACCTACCAGGTACAACCCTAAATCTGTAAACATGGGCACCCTTATAGATATCATCCTGACTAACTCACCCTCTAAATACACCTCCGCTGTCTTCAACCAGGATCTCAGCGATCACTGCCTTATTGCCTGCGTCCGTAACGGGTCCGCGGTCAAACGACCACCCCTCATCACTGTCAAACGCTCCCTAAAACACTTTAGCGAGCAGGCCTTCCTAATTGACCTGGCCCAGGTATCCTGGATGGATATCGATCTCATTCCGTCAGTAGAGCATGCCTGGTTGTTCTTTAAAAGTGCTTTCCTCTCAATCTTAAATAAGCATGCCTCATTCAAAAAATTCAGAACTAAGAACAGATATAGCCCCTGGTTCTCCTCAGACTTGACTGCCCTTGACCAGCACAAAAACATCCTGTGGCTTACTGCATTAGCATCGAATAGCCCCCTCGATATGCAACTTTTCAGGGAAGTTAGGAACCAATATACACAAGCAGTTAGGAAAGCAAAGGCTAGCTTTTTCAAACAGAAATTTGCATCCTGTAGCACTCCAAAAAGTTTTGGGACACTGTAAAGTCCATGGAGAATAAGAGTACCTCCTCCCAGCAGCCCACTGCACTGAGGCTAGGAAACACTATCACCACCGATAAATCTACAATAATCGAGAATTTCAACAAGCATTTTGCTACGGCTGGCCATGCTTTCCACCTGGCTACCACTACCCCGGTCACCAGCTCTGCACCCTCCGCTGCAACTTGCCCATGCCTCCCCCCCCCCCCGCTTCTCCTTCACGCAAATTCAGACAGCTGATGTTCTGAAAGAGCTGCAAAATCTGGACCCCTACAAATCATCTGGGCTAGACAATCTGGACCCTTTCTTTCTAAAATTAGCAGCCGAAATTGTCACAACCCCTATTACTAGCCTGTTCAACCTCTCTTTTGTAATGTCTGAGATCCCCAAAGATTGAAAAGCTGCCGCGGTCATCCCCCTCTTCAAAGGGGGTGACACTCTAGATCCAAACTGCTACAGACCTATATCCATCCTGCCCTTCGAAAGTTTTTGAAAGCCAAGTTAACAAACAGATCACCGACCATTTCGAATCACACAGTACCTTCTCCGCTATGCAATCCGGTTTCCGAGCTGATCATGGGTGCACCTTAGCCACGCTCAAGGTCCTAAACGATATTATAACCGCGATCGATAATAGACAGTACTGTGCAGCCGTCTTCATCGACCTGGCCAAGGCTTTTGACTCTGTCAACCACCGCATTCTTTTTGGCAGACTAAATTTGGTTTTTCAAATGACTGCCTCGCCTGGTTCACCAACTACTTCTCAGATAGAGTTCAATGTGTCAAATCGGAGGGCCTGTTGTCTGGACCTATGGCAGTCTCTATGGGGGTGCCACAGGGTTCAATTCTTGGGCCGACTCTTTTCTTTGTGTATATCAATGATGTCGCTCTTGCTGCCGGTGATTCTCAGATCCACCTCTACGCAGACGACACCATTTTGTATACATCTGGCCCTTCATTGGACACTGTGTTAACAAACCTCCGAACGAGCTTCAATGCCATACAACAATCCTTCCGTAGCCTCCAACTGCTCTTAAACATAAGTAAAACTAAATGCATGCTCTCCAATCGAACGCTGCTGGCACCCGTCCACCCGACTAGAATCACTACTCTCGATGGGTCTGACCTAGAGTATGTGGACAACTACAAATACCTAGGTGTCTGGTTAGACTGTAAACTCTCCTTCCAGACTCACATTAAGCATCTCCAATCCTGTAAGTCGCTCTGGATAAGAGCGTCTGCTAAATGACTAAAATGAAAATGTAAAAATGCAAAGTGAAATCTAGAATCGGCTTCCTATTTCGCAACAAAGCCTCCTTCACTCATGCTGCCAAACATGCCCTCGTAAAACTGACTATCCTACCGATCCTTGACTTCGGCGAAAATAGCCTCCAACACTCTACTCAGCAAATTGGATGTAGTCTATCACAGTGCCATCCGTTTTGTCACCAAAGCCCCATATACTACCCACCACTGTGACCTGTACGCTCTTGTTGGCTGGTCCTCACTACATATTCGTCGCCAAACCCACTGGCTCCAGGCCATCTATACATCACTGCTAGGGAAATCCCCGCCTTATCTTAGCTCATTGGTCACCATAGCAACACCCACCCGTAGTATGCGCTCCAGCAGGTATATCTCACTGGTCATCCCCAAAGCCAACACCTCCTTTGGCCGCCATTCCTTCCAGTTCTCTGCTGCCAATGACTGGAACGAACTGCAAAAATCTCTGAAGCTGGAGACTCTTATCTCCCTCACTAACTTTAAGCATCAGTTGTCAGAGCACCTTACCGATCACTGCACCTGTACACAGCCCATCTGAAATTAGCCCACTCAACTACCTCATCCCCATATTGTTATTTATTTTGCTCATTTGCACCCCAGTATCTCTATTTGCACATCATCTCTTGCACATCTATCATTCCAGTGTTAATACTAATTGTAATTATTTTGCACTATGGCCTTACCTCCATAACTTGCTACATTTGCACACACTGTATATATATTTTCTGTTGTATTTTTTACTTTATGTTTTGTTTTACCCCATATGTAACTCTGTGTTGTTGTTTTTATCGCACTACTTTGCTTTATCTTGGCCAGGTCGCAGTTGTAAATGAGAACTTGTTCTCAACTGGCTTACCTGGTTAAAAAAAAATGTCATGTTTTGTTTTTCAGGAAAACTAAGGCAGAAACAAACCACACCAGAGCATAAGCAGAGGACAAGACAAAACAAAGGTATTTCGCCTACTTAGAAATCACCTTAAGAAATACTACAGTCTTTGTTCGCATTTTATTTTATATTTCTCGTGGTTTCTTCTCTCTCTCTCTCTCTCTCTCTCTCTCTCTCTCAATTAAATTAAATTAAATTAAATTTCAATTTAAGGGCTTTATTGACATGGGAAACGTGTGTTAACATTGCCAAAGCAAGTGAAGTAGATAGTAAACAAAAGTGAAATAAACAATAAATATTAACAGTAAACATTACACTCAGAAGTTCCAAAAGAATAAAGACATTTCAAATGTCATATTATGTCTATATACAGTGTTGTAACAATGTGCAAATAGTTAAAGTACAAATGGGAAAATAAATAAACATAAATATGGGTTGTATTTACAATGGTGGTTGTTCTTTACTGGTTGCCCTTTTCTTGTGGCAACAGGTCACACATCTTGCAGCTGTGATGGCACACTGTGGTTTTTCACCCAGTAGATAAGGGAGTTTATCAAAATTGGGTTTGTTTTCAAATTCTTTGCTGATCTCTGTAATCTGAGGGAAATATGCGTCTCTAATATGGTCATACATTTGGCAGGAGGTTAGGAAGTGCAGCTCAGTTTCCACCTCATTTTGTGGGCAGTGTGCACATAACCTGTCTTCTCTTGAGAGCCAGGTCTGCCTACGGCGGCCTTTCTCAATAGCAAGGCTATGCTCACTGAGTCTGTACATAGTCAAAGCTTTCCTTAAGTTTGGGTCAGTCACAGTGGTCAGGTATTCTGCCACTGTTTACTCTCTGTTTAGGGCCAAATAGTATTCTACTTTGCTCTGTTTTTTTGTTAATTCTTTCCAATGTGTCAAGTAATTCTCTTTTTGTTTTCTCATGATTTGGTTGGGTCTAATTGTGTTGTTGTCCTGGGGCTCTGTTGTTGGTCTTCAAAGCGTCTTTGAGATTCTTCTTGTATTGAAAAGCGCTATATAAATTAAATCTATTGTTATTATTGTTATTATTATTAAAGGATGGCTGAGGAGGAGGAAACCAGGGAGGTGCTCTTCTCTGACTGGTCGGGTCCAGAGAAACAGGGAATGACCCTTGAGCAGTCAGGTGAAGGAGAGATCTATGTCAAAGAGGTGAAAATGGAGTCGCCTGCTGGACGCACTGGAAGAGTACATGAGGGTATGTAACAGAGTTAGAATGGCTCTTATGTACAGTATTAATTTTCTATAATACATTAACTTAATTGATTTATACTGTTATTGAAGTCCTGATATCTTATAATTTACATGTTGATATACAGTAAGGTTTGCTTGATCTACCTTTGTTTTATTCAAAGTACATTTGAATGACGGATTTTAACATGGTATCAATGTCCTCTTGTGTCTTCCCCTAAAGGTGATCAAATTGTGGGTGCAACCATCTATTTTGACAACATGAGTTCCAAGGAGACGACGGAGCTCCTTAAGACCTTAAACAAACACAAGGTTGGACTGAAACTACAAAACAAGGACAAGTCACCCTGCCGTTCCCCCATGGGAACTCTGTCACCCTGCCGTTCCCCAATGGGAACTCTGACGTATGAAGGGAAGGGAAGGTTTGGAGGCTCCAGCCAAGACATTATCCTGGTATGTAGCTATGTTGACTGTGCAAGCAATGTTAAGTGTATTTACTTGTGGTGTGGTGGTGCGGCAAAGATTGGAATTTTTCAGGATTTTAATACACTTTTCAATGGCTTTTGTGAACACCAGGTTTGGGGTCAATTCTATTTAACTTCCAGTCAATTCAGGAAGTACACTGGAATTCCAATTCTCTTCAATGGTTTTAAAATTAGGAAGATTTTGATTTGTAATTAGAATTAGGTTTACTTTCTGAATTCACTGGAATTGAAATGGAATTGACCCCAACCCTGGTGAACACAGACTTCTTGAAACACACTTCACTCTTGTCTCAAATTATCATAACATTTTCTCAAATAGACTTACTTCCATATCGAATGTTCGTACTGTATATTTTCAACAACAGTGGTATTACCTAATGTAATAAATTCATGAATTACTGCAATTACTGATTTCACCTTCTTTTGACGAGACCAGAGTGGGGATGATGAAGACTACAAGAGAATATATTCCAAGAAGATTAAGCCCCGGCTGAAGTCTGAGGATCTGGCTGAGGGCGTGGACGTCCGTACGGAGCGCCACAGCAGCACCAGTACCGACGGCAGCACGATCACTACCATCACCCGTCGCATCACTACCTACACTGTGGACATGCCGGGGGGCGTGGATGAGCAGCTTGAGCTAACCAGCCCAGAGTTCAAAGGGCTACGATACGAGCAGTCAGGAGGGGACAGCTCATCTCAAATCCGAGTTTTGCACGGAAGCGGAAGCCCTTCAGGTATAGGAGGCGGATTGGAGGGGGGTGATTTTGAACTAGGAGGTGATGGTGTTTCTTTCACTGGGCCGGATGTAACTAGCTCCTCTGAGAAGCACTGGAGCACTGGAGGGGTGAAGACCACCACTGTTACGAGGGAGATAGAGGGGGGAGATGGTGGAGCAGCAGGGATCAGATTCAAAGGACCTAGCTTTGGGATGTCTGGGGCGAAGGGTCAGGGGGAGTTCGGCCTCTATAGAGGGGGTCAGCAAGGGGATGGGAGATTTCAGGTTTCCGGTGACTCAGCTGACTACCAGGCAGGATCAGTCAATGTCACGGTCCCTGGAAGAACAACAACTATTTCCTCCAGCTCCATATCAATGGGTAAAGGGGAGGTGAGAGGAGTAGACGTTAATTTGCCTGGGAGAGGCAATGCAGACTGGAAGGGTAGGGTAGGAGGTTCAGTACCTGGAATAACCATTAGTGATCAACAGATGAGAGGGTCTGGGAGCGTAGGTCTCTCCGGAGGCAACCAGGGTGGGGTTTCCTTACCCAGTATGCCAGGCATTGATACAGGGTTGAACGGAGGCAAGATATCAACAGACATAAGAGCGCCAACACTTGACATTAATACCTCAGGTATAAAGGAGTCTGGCTCAGTGAAAATGTCTGTAAAAGGACCGTCGATAAAAGAAACAACAATTGAAAGTGAAAGCAAACTCAAAGGTGGCATCAAAATGCCATATTTTGGACTGAACACTGGAGGTGCAGAGAGCGATGGAGATGTTAAACTACCGCATGTGAAGGGCACTGTGGATGTTTCGGTTCCAGGGGTAGATGTAGATGTATCAGGCCCATCTATGAATGTGAAAGGAGGAAAGAAGATGGGTGGTGTTGACATCAAAGCACCCAAAGTTCAAGGTTCAGGTGTTGATATAGAAGGTCCAGAAGGCGGTTTCAAGATACCCAAAGTAAAGATGCCATCATTTGGAATCAAAGGAGACGGATTTGAGGGTCCTGATGTCGATGTCAACCTACCAAAAGCTGACATTGACATCAAGGCTCCCAAAGTTGACATTAAAAGTCCATCAATATCAGGACCAAAGATCTCAATGCCCGATGTGGATTTCAAACTGAAAGGCCCGAAAGTGAAGGGAGATTTTGATATGTCAGGAGACCTCAAAGCACCCAAAGTAGACATTGAAGGTCCAGATGTTGACATTGAAGGTTCAGGAGGATTTAAGATGCCAAAGATGAAGATGCCATCATTTGGAATGAAAGGACACAAAGTTGAGGGTCCAGATATTGATGTTAATCTTCCTAAAGCTGACATTGACATCAAGGCTCCCAAAATTGACATTAAAGGTCCATCAATATCTGGACCAAAGATCTCAATGCCCGATGTGGACTTCAATCTGAAAGGCCCGAAAGTGAAGGGAGATTTTGATATGTCAGGAGACCTCAAAGCACCCAAAGTAGACATTGAAGGTCCAGATGTTGACATTGAAGGTTCAGGAGGATTTAAGATGCCAAAGATGAAGATGCCCTCATTTGGAATCAAAGGACCCAAAGTTGAGGGAGATGTTGATGTCAAACTACCTAAAGGTGACATTGACATCAAGGGACCTAATGTTAACATCAAAGGTCCAGAACTTGACATCGAAGGCCCTGACGGGAAAATCAAGGGCCCAAAATTCAAGATGCCATCAATGTCAGGCCCAAAGATCTCAATGCCTGATATGGACATCAATCTGAAAGGTCCCAAGCTGAAGGGGGATGTGGATGTGTCAGTGCCAAAGATAAAAGGAGACCTCAAAGCACCCAAAGTAGACATTGAAGGTCCAGATGTTGACATTGAAGGTTCAGGAGGATTTAAGATGCCAAAGATGAAGATGCCATCATTTGGAATGAAAGGACACAAAGTTGAGGGTCCAGATATTGATGTTAATCTTCCTAAAGCTGACATTGACATCAAGGCTCCCAAAATTGACATTAAAGGTCCATCAATATCTGGACCAAAGATCTCAATGCCCGATGTGGACTTCAATCTGAAAGGCCCGAAAGTGAAGGGAGATTTTGATATGTCAGGAGACCTCAAAGCACCCAAAGTAGACATTGAAGGTCCAGATGTTGACATTGAAGGTTCAGGAGGATTTAAGATGCCAAAGATGAAGATGCCATCATTTGGAATGAAAGGACACAAAGTTGAGGGTCCAGATATTGATGTTAATCTTCCTAAAGCTGACATTGACATCAAGGCTCCCAAAATTGACATTAAAGGTCCATCAATATCTGGACCAAAGATCTCAATGCCCGATGTGGACTTCAACCTGAAAGGTCCAAAGGTGAAGGGAGATTTTGATATGTCAGGAGACCTCAAAGCACCCAAAGTAGACATTGAAGGTCCAGATGTTGACATTGAAGGTTCAGGAGGATTTAAGATGCCAAAGATGAAGATGCCATCATTTGGAATGAAAGGACACAAAGTTGAGGGTCCAGATATTGATGTTAATCTTCCTAAAGCTGACATTGACATCAAGGCTCCCAAAATTGACATTAAAGGTCCATCAATATCTGGACCAAATATCTCAATGCCCGATGTGGACTTCAACCTGAAAGGTCCAAAGGTGAAGGGAGATTTTGATATGTCAGGAGACCTCAAAGCACCCAAAGTAGACATTGAAGGTCCAGATGTTGACATTGAAGGTTCAGGAGGATTTAAGATGCCAAAGATGAAGATGCCATCATTTGGAATGAAAGGACACAAAGTTGAGGGTCCAGATATTGATGTTAATCTTCCTAAAGCTGACATTGACATCAAGGCTCCCAAAATTGACATTAAAGGTCCATCAATATCTGGACCAAAGATCTCAATGCCCGATGTGGACTTCAATCTGAAAGGCCCGAAAGTGAAGGGAGATTTTGATATGTCAGGAGACCTCAAAGCACCCAAAGTAGACATTGAAGGTCCAGATGTTGACATTGAAGGTTCAGGAGGATTTAAGATGCCAAAGATGAAGATGCCCTCATTTGGAATCAAAGGACCCAAAGTTGAGGGAGATGTTGATGTCAAACTACTTAAAGGTGACATTGACATCAAGGCTCCCAAAGTTGACATTAAAGGTCCATCAATATCTGGACCAAAGATCTCAATGCCCGATGTGGACTTCAACCTGAAAGGTCCAAAGGTGAAGGGAGATTTTGATATGTCAGGAGACCTCAAAGCACCCAAAGTAGACATTGAAGGTCCAGATGTTGACATTGAAGGTTCAGGAGGATTTAAGATGCCAAAGATGAAGATGCCATCATTTGGAATGAAAGGACACAAAGTTGAGGGTCCAGATATTGATGTTAATCTTCCTAAAGCTGACATTGACATCAAGGCTCCCAAAATTGACATTAAAGGTCCATCAATATCTGGACCAAAGATCTCAATGCCCGATGTGGACTTCAACCTGAAAGGTCCAAAGGTGAAGGGAGATTTTGATATGTCAGGAGACCTCAAAGCACCCAAAGTAGACATTGAAGGTCCAGATGTTGACATTGAAGGTTCAGGAGGATTTAAGATGCCAAAGATGAAGATGCCATCATTTGGAATGAAAGGACACAAAGTTGAGGGTCCAGATATTGATGTTAATCTTCCTAAAGCTGACATTGACATCAAGGCTCCCAAAATTGACATTAAAGGTCCATCAATATCTGGACCAAAGATCTCAATGCCCGATGTGGACTTCAATCTGAAAGGCCCGAAAGTGAAGGGAGATTTTGATATGTCAGGAGACCTCAAAGCACCCAAAGTAGACATTGAAGGTCCAGATGTTGACATTGAAGGTTCAGGAGGATTTAAGATGCCAAAGATGAAGATGCCCTCATTTGGAATCAAAGGACCCAAAGTTGAGGGAGATGTTGATGTCAAACTACTTAAAGGTGACATTGACATCAAGGCTCCCAAAGTTGACATTAAAGGTCCATCAATATCTGGACCAAAGATCTCAATGCCCGATGTGGACTTCAACCTGAAAGGTCCAAAGGTGAAGGGAGATTTTGATATGTCAGGAGACCTCAAAGCACCCAAAGTAGACATTGAAGGTCCAGATGTTGACATTGAAGGTTCAGGAGGATTTAAGATGCCAAAGATGAAGATGCCATCATTTGGAATGAAAGGACACAAAGTTGAGGGTCCAGATATTGATGTTAATCTTCCTAAAGCTGACATTGACATCAAGGCTCCCAAAATTGACATTAAAGGTCCATCAATATCTGGACCAAAGATCTCAATGCCCGATGTGGACTTCAACCTGAAAGGTCCAAAGGTGAAGGGAGATTTTGATATGTCAGGAGACCTCAAAGCACCCAAAGTAGACATTGAAGGTCCAGATGTTGACATTGAAGGTTCAGGAGGATTTAAGATGCCAAAGATGAAGATGCCCTCATTTGGAATCAAAGGACCCAAAGTTGAGGGAGATGTTGATGTCAAACTACCTAAAGGTGACATTGACATCAAGGGAGCTAATGTTAACATCAAAGGTCCAGAACTTGACATCGAAGGCCCTGATGGGAAAATTAAGGGCCCAAAATTCAAGATGCCATCAGTGTCAGGCCCAAATATCTCAATGCCCGATGTGGACTTCAATCTGAAAGGTCCAAAGGTAAAGGGAGATTTCGATATGTCAGGAGACCTCAAAGCACCCAAAGTAGACATTGAAGGTCCAGATGTTGACATTGAAGGTTCAGGAGGATTTAAGATGCCAAAGATGAAGATGCCATCATTCGGAATTAAAGGACACAAAGTTGAGGTTCCAGATATTGATGTTAATCTACCAAAAGCTGACATTGACATCAAGGCTCCCAAAGTGGACATCAAAGGTCCAGAACTTGACATTGAAGGCCCTGATGGTAAAATCAAAGGTTCGAAATTCAAGATGCCATCCATATCAGGACCAAACATCTCAATGCCTGACATGGACTTCAACCTGAAAGGTCCAAAGGTGAAGGGAGATGTTGATATGTCAGGAGACCTCAAAGCACCCAAAGTAGACATTGAAGGTCCAGATGTTGACATTGAAGGTTCAGGAGGATTTAAGATGCCAAAGATGAAGATGCCGTCATTTGGATTCAAAGGACACAAAGTTGAGGGTCCAGATATTGATGTTAATCTACCTAAAGCTGACATTGACATTAAGGGGCCCAAAGTGGACATCAAAGGTCCAGAACTTGACATTGAAGGCCCTGATGGTAAAATCAAAGGGCCGAAATTCAAGATGCCATCAATATCTGGACCAAAAATCTCCATGCCTGATGTGGACTTCAACCTGAAAGGTCCAAAGATGAAAGGAGATATCAATATACCAGTCCCCAAGATCGAAGGAGACATCAAAGGTCCAGAACTTGACCTTGAAGGCCCTGATGGTAAAATCAAAGGTTCGAAATTCAAGATGCCATCCATATCAGGACCAAACATCTCAATGCCTGACATGGACTTCAACCTGAAAGGTCCAAAGGTGAAGGGAGATTTTGATATGTCAGGAGATCTCAAAGCACCCAAAGTAGACATTGAAGGTCCTGATGTTGACATTGAAGGTTCAGGAGGATTTAAGATGCCAAAGATGAAGATGCCATCATTTGGAATGAAAGGACACAAAGTTGAGGGTCCAGATATTGATGTTAATCTTCCTAAAGCTGACATTGACATCAAGGCTCCCAAAATTGACATTAAAGTTCCATCAATATCTGGACCAAAGATCTCAATGCCCGATGTTGACTTCAATCTGAAAGGCCCGAAAGTGAAGGGAGATTTTGATATTTCAGGAGACCTCAAAGCACCCAAAGTAGACATTGAATGTCCAGATGTTGACATTGAAGGTTCAGGAGGATTTAAGATGCCAAAGATGAAGATGCCATCATTTGGAATGAAAGGACACAAAGTTGAGGGTCCAGATATTGATGTTAATCTACCTAAAGCTGACATTGACATTAAGGGGCCCAAAGTGGACATCAAAGGTCCAGAACTTGACATTGAAGGCCCTGATGGTAAAATCAAAGGTTCGAAATTCAAGATGCCATCCATATCAGGACCAAACATCTCAATGCCTGACATGGACTTCAACCTGAAAGGTCCAAAGGTGAAGGGAGATTTTGATATGTCAGGAAACCTCAAAGCACCCAAAGTAGACATTGAAGGTCCAGATGTTGACATTGAAGGTTTAGGAGGATTTAAGATGCCAAAGATGAAGATGCCGTCATTTGGATTCAAAGGACACAAAGTTGAGGGTCCAGATATTGATGTTAATCTTCCTAAAGCTGACATTGACATTAAGGGTCCCAAAGTGGACATCAAAGGTCCAGAACTTGACATTGAAGGCCCTGATGGTAAAATCAAAGGTTCGAAATTCAAGATGCCATCCATATCAGGACCAAACATCTCAATGCCTGACATGGACTTCAACCTGAAAGGTCCAAAGGTGAAGGGAGATTTTGATATGTCAGGAGACCTCAAAGCACCCAAAGTAGACATTGAAGGTCCAGATGTTGACATTGAAGGTTCAGGAGGATTTAAGATGCCAAAGATGAAGATGCCATCATTTGGAATGAAAGGACACAAAGTTGAGGGTCCAGATATTGATGTTAATCTTCCTAAAGCTGACATTGACATCAAGGCTCCCAAAATTGACATTAAAGGTCCATCAATATCTGGACCAAAGATCTCAATGCCCGATGTGGACTTCAATCTGAAAGGCCCGAAAGTGAAGGGAGATTTTGATATGTCAGGAGACCTCAAAGCACCCAAAGTAGACATTGAAGGTCCAGATGTTGACATTGAAGGTTCCGGAGGATTTAAGATGCCAAAGATGAAGATGCCCTCATTTGGAATCAAAGGACCCAAAGTTGAGGGAGATGTTGATGTCAAACTACCTAAAGGTGATTTTGACATCAAGGGACCTAATGTTAACATCAAAGGTCCAGAACTTGACATCGAAGGCCCTGACGGGAAAATCAAGGGCCCAAAATTCAAGATGCCATCAGTGTCAGGCCCAAAGATCTCAATGCCTGATGTGGACTTCAATCTGAAAGGTCCTAAGCTGAAGGGGGATGTGGATGTGTCAGTGCCAAAGATAAAAGGAGACCTCAAAGCACCCAAAGTAGACATTGAAGGTCCAGATGTTGACATTGAAGGTTCAGGAGGATTTAAGATGCCAAAGATGAAGATGCCATCATTTGGAATGAAAGGACATAAAGTTGAGGGTCCAGATATTGATGTCAACCTACCAAAAGCTGACATTGACATTAAGGGGCCCAAAGTGGACATCAAAGGTCCAGAACTTGACATTGAAGGCCCTGATGGTAAAATCAAAGGTTCGAAATTCAAGATGCCATCCATATCAGGACCAAACATCTCAATGCCTGACATGGACTTCAACCTGAAAGGTCCAAAGGTGAAGGGAGATTTTGATATGTCAGGAGACCTCAAAGCACCCAAAGTAGACATTGAAGGTCCAGATGTTGACATTGAAGGTTCAGGAGGATTTAAGATGCCAAAGATGAAGATGCCATCATTTGGAATGAAAGGACACAAAGTTGAGGGTCCAAATATTGATGTTAATCTTCCTAAAGCTGACATTGACATCAAGGCTCCCAAAATTGACATTAAAGGTCCATCAATATCTGGACCAAAGATCTCAATGCCCGATGTGGACTTCAATCTGAAAGGCCCGAAAGTGAAGGGAGATTTTGATATGTCAGGAGACCTCAAAGCACCCAAAGTAGACATTGAAGGTCCAGATGTTGACATTGAAGGTTCAGGAGGATTTAAGATGCCAAAGATGAAGATGCCCTCATTTGGAATCAAAGGACCCAAAGTTGAGGGAGATGTTGATGTCAAACTACCTAAAGGTGATTTTGACATCAAGGGACCTAATGTTAACATCAAAGGTCCAGAACTTGACATCGAAGGCCCTGACGGGAAAATCAAGGGCCCAAAATTCAAGATGCCATCAGTGTCAGGCCCAAAGATCTCAATGCCTGATGTGGACTTCAATCTGAAAGGTCCTAAGCTGAAGGGGGATGTGGATGTGTCAGTGCCAAAGATAAAAGGAGACCTCAAAGCACCCAAAGTAGACATTGAAGGTCCAGATGTTGACATTGAAGGTTCAGGAGGATTTAAGATGCCAAAGATGAAGATGCCATCATTTGGAATGAAAGGACATAAAGTTGAGGGCCCAGATATTGATGTCAACCTACCAAAATCTGACATTGACATTAAGGGGCCCAAAGTGGACATCAAAGGTCCAGAACTTGACATTGAAGGCCCTGATGGTAAAATCAAAGGTTCGAAATTCAAGATGCCATCCATATCAGGACCAAACATCTCAATGCCTGACATGGACTTCAACCTGAAAGGTCCAAAGGTGAAGGGAGATTTTGATATGTCAGGAGACCTCAAAGCACCCAAAGTAGACATTGAAGGTCCAGATGTTGACATTGAAGGTTCAGGAGGATTTAAGATGCCAAAGATGAAGATGCCCTCATTTGGAATCAAAGGACCCAAAGTTGAGGGAGATGTTGAAGTCAAACTACCTAAAGGTGACATTGACATCAAGGGAGCTAATGTTAACATCAAAGGTCCAGAACTTGACATCGAAGGCCCTGATGGGAAAATTAAGGGCCCAAAATTCAAGATGCCATCAGTGTCAGGCCCAAAGATCTCAATGCCCGATGTGGACTTCAATCTGAAAGGCCCGAAAGTGAAGGGAGATTTTGATATGTCAGGAGACCTCAAAGCACCCAAAGTAGACATTGAATGTCCAGATGTTGACATTGAAGGTTCAGGAGGATTTAAGATGCCAAAGATGAAGATGCCATCATTCGGAATCAAAGGACACAAAGTTGAGGGTCCAGATATTGATGTTAATCTTCCTAAAGCTGACATTGACATTAAGGGGCCCAAAGTGGACATCAAAGGTCCAGAACTTGACATTGAAGGCCCTGATGGTAAAATCAAAGGTTCGAAATTCAAGATGCCATCCATATCAGGACCAAACATCTCAATGCCTGACATGGACTTCAACCTGAAAGGTCCAAAGGTGAAGGGAGATTTTGATATGTCAGGAGACCTCAAAGCACCCAAAGTAGACATTGAAGGTCCAGATGTTGATATTGAAGGTTCAGGAGGATTTAAGATGCCAAAGATGAAGATGCCGTCATTTGGATTCAAAGGACACAAAGTTGAGGGTCCAGATATTGATGTTAATCTACCTAAAGCTGACATTGACATCAAGGGGCCCAAAGTGGACATCAAAGGTCCAGAACTTGACATTGAAGGCCCTGATGGTAAAATCAAAGGTTCGAAATTCAAGATGCCATCCATATCAGGACCAAACATCTCAATGCCTGACATGGACTTCAATCTGAAAGGTCCGAAAGTGAAGGGAGATTTTGATATGTCAGGAGACCTCAAAGCACCCAAAGTAGACATTGATGGTCCAGATGTTGACATTGAAGGTTTAGGAGGATTTAAGATGCCAAAGATGAAGATGCCCTCATTTGGAATCAAAGGACCCAAAGTTGAGGGAGATGTTGATGTCAACCTACCAAAAGCTGACATTGACATCAAGGGACCTAATATTAACATCAAAGGTCCAGAACTTGACATTGAAGGCCCTGATGGGAAAATTAAGGGCCCAAAATTCAAGATGCCATCAGTGTCAGGCCCAAAGATCTCAATGCCCGATGTGGACTTCAATCTTAAAGGTCCTAAGCTGAAGGGGGATGTGGATGTGTCAGTGCCAAAGATAAAAGGAGACCTCAAAGCACCCAAAGTAGACATTGAAGGTCCAGATGTTGACATTGAAGGTTCAGGAGGATTTAAGATGCCAAAGATGAAGATGCCATCATTCGGAATTAAAGGACACAAAGTTGAGGGTCCAGATATTGATGTTAATCTTCCTAAAGCTGACATTGACATTAAGGGGCCCAAAGTGGACATCAAAGGTCCAGAACTTGACATTGAAGGCCCTGATGGTAAAATCAAAGGTTCGAAATTCAAGATGCCATCCATATCAGGACCAAACATCTCAATGCCTGACATGGACTTCAACCTGAAAGGTCCAAAGGTGAAGGGAGATTTTGATATGTCAGGAGACCTCAAAGCACCTAAAGTAGACATTGAAGGTCCAGATGTTGATATTGAAGGTTCAGGAGGATTTAAGATGCCAAAGATGAAGATGCCATCATTTGGAATCAAAGGATCTAAATTGGAGGGTCCAGATATTGATGTCCACCTTCCAAAAGCTGACATTGACATCAAGGCTCCCAAAGTTGACATTAAAAGTCCATCAATATCAGGACCAAAGATCTCAATGCCCGATGTGGACTTCAACCTGAAAGGCCCGAAAGTGAAGGGAGATTTTGATATGTCAGGAGACCTCAAAGCACCCAAAATAGACATTGAAGGTCCAGATGTTGACATTGAAGGTTCAGGAGGATTTAAGATGCCAAAGATGAAGATGCCATCATTCGGAATCAAAGGACACAAAGTTGAGGGTCCAGATATTGATGTTAATCTTCCTAAAGCTGACATTGACATTAAGGGGCCCAAAGTGGACATCAAAGGTCCAGAACTTGACATTGAAGGCCCTGATGGTAAAATCAAAGGTTCGAAATTCAAGATGCCATCCATATCAGGACCAAACATCTCAATGCCTGACATGGACTTCAACCTGAAAGGTCCAAAGGTGAAGGGAGATTTTGATATGTCAGGAGACCTCAAAGCACCCAAAGTAGACATTGAAGGTCCAGATGTTGACATTGAAGGTTCAGGAGGATTTAAGATGCCAAAGATGAAGATGCCATCATTTGGATTCAAAGGACACAAAGTTGAGGGTCCAGATATTGATGTTAATCTACCTAAAGCTGACATTGACATTAAGGGGCCCAAAGTGGACATCAAAGGTCCAGAACTTGACATTGAAGGCCCTGATGGTAAAATCAAAGGTTCGAAATTCAAGATGCCATCCATATCAGGACCAAACATCTCAATGCCTGACATGGACTTCAACCTGAAAGGTCCAAAGGTGAAGGGAGATTTTGATATGTCAGGAGACCTCAAAGCACCCAAAGTAGACATTGAAGGTCCAGATGTTGACATTGAAGGTTCAGGAGGATTTAAGATGCCAAAGATGAAGATGCCGTCATTTGGATTCAAAGGACACAAAGTTGAGGGTCCAGATATTGATGTTAATCTTCCTAAAGCTGACATTGACATTAAGGGGCCCAAAGTGGACATCAAAGGTCCAGAACTTGACATTGAAGGCCCTGATGGTAAAATCAAAGGTTCGAAATTCAAAATGCCTTCCATATCAGGACCAAACATCTCAATGCCTGACATGGACTTCAACCTGAAAGGTCCAAAGGTGAAGGGAGATTTTGATATGTCAGGAGATCTCAAAGCACCCAAAGTAGACATTGAAGGACCAGATGTTGACATTGAAGGTTCAGGAGGAATTAAAATGCCAAAGATGAAGATGCCTCATTTGGCAAAAGTGGGGCAAATTGATGTGTTAATCTCCCAAAGGCAATTAAGGGGGGGGTTAAGGGGAAAGGGACACCCCAAAAGGGCGAAATTGATGATTGGATGCCATGGAGTTAAACAAAGAAAGTTCAAAATCCCAAAGTTCATATAGGGGCCAAAATTCAATTCCTGAATTGACTTAACCTTTAAAGGTTTAAAAGGGAAAAGGGTTTTGAATGTCGGGGCTAAAGCCCCAAAGTAGGATAAACCAATGTTAAATTGGGTTCAAGGAATAAAATCCAAGATGAAAATTTAACCCGCCCAAAGGTCAATTGCTTCAATGGATGTTCCAATTAAAGGCCAAATTCAGAGTCAGGAAATGGGCAACCCAAAGCGTATGATGGACCCAAAAATCCTGAATTACCCAAAGAAGTCAAGCAATGAAAGTTGGATCAAAACAAAATCCCCAAGGGGGTTCGAAAGGGGAACATCAAGGACCAAAAACCTTATCCAAAAAAATTTTAAGGTCCAAAGATGGCTTTAAAATTTTAAGTGGACTTCAAAATTCCAAAGATGGTCCCCAAAACCTTATCCAGGAACTTTCAAACCCTCCCTCAAGCCAATGCTTTACCAACAGTCTTGAAGGAGTTCCCACATATGCTGAGCACTTGTTGGCTGCTTTTCCTTCACTCTGCAGTTGGTGGATTGTGGAGGCCAGGTCATCTGATGCAGCACTCCATCACTCTCCTTCTTGGTCAAATAGCCCTTACACAGCCTGGAGGTGTGTTGGGTCATTGTCCTGTTGAAAAAACAAATGATAGTCCCACTAAGTCCAAACCAGATGGGATGGCATATCGCTGCAGAATGCTGTGGTAGCCATGCTGGTTAAGCGTGCCTTGAATTCTAAATAAATCACTGACAGTGCCACCAGCAAAGCACCCCCACAACATCATACCTCCACCTCCGTGCTTCACGGTGGTAACCACACATGCGGAGATCATCCGTTCACCTACTCTGCGTCTCACAAAGACACGGCGGTTGGAACCAAAAATCTAAAATCTGGACCCATCAGACCAAAGGACAGATTTCCACCGGTCTAATGTCCATTGCTCGTGTTTCTTGGCCCAAGTTGGTCTCTTCTTCTTATTGGTGTCCTTTAGTAGTGCTTTCTTTGCAGCAATTGGATCATGAAGGCCTGATTCACGCAGTCTCCTCTGAACAGTTGATGTTGAGATGTGTCTGTTACTTGAACTCTGTGAAGCATTTATTTGGGCTGCAATCTGAGGTGTAGTTAACTCTAATGAACATATCCTCTGCAGCAGAGGTAACTCTGGGTCTTCCTTTCCTGTGGCGGTCCTCATGAGAGCCAGTTTCATTCTCATTATAACGCTTGATGGTTTTTGCGACTGCACTTGAAGAAACGTTCAAAGTTCTTACATTTTCCGTATTGACTGTCGTTTCTCTTTGCCTATTTGAACTGTTCTTGCCATAATATGGACTTGGTCTTTTACCAAATAGAGCTATCGTCTGTATACCACCCCTACCTTGTCACAACACAACTGATTGGCTCAAATGCATTAAGAAGGAATCAAATTCCACAAATTAACTTTTAACAAGGCACAGTTGTTAATTGAAATGCATTCCTGGTGACTACCTCATGAAGCTGGTTGAGAGAATGCCAAGTGTGTGCAAAGCTGTCATCAAGGCAAAGGGTGGCTACTTTGAAGAATCTCTAATATAACATTGGGTTACCACATGATTCCATATGTGTTATTTCATAGTTTTGATGATCTTCACTACTATTCTACAATCTAAAAAATAAAGAAAAACCCTTGAGTGTGAGTAGGCGTGTCCAAACCTTTGACTGGTACTGAATATCAAGCACATATATAATGGCTACTACCCATAACAACTACAGTTCACACAATGATTCATGGGGTAAAATACTCACGTCATCTCCACTGCCATCTATATGTATTTGTTATTCAACCTATGCAATATCACAGAATTAATATATACAGTATGTTGACAAGGTATTAATATATACAGTATGTTGACAGGACATTAACATACAGTGCATTGACAAGATGTGACTGACTGTGTCAAAATCAACCTCATGAATTGCTTAAAGGGGCAATCTTTGGACTTTTAAATGAATGACATTGTTGTTGAATCCGACATCCGCCCATTAATGATGTGACCTTTGGATATAACGTAACGGTGGACCCCCCGTGTCCATACAGTAAATAACAACTGTAATGCATGAGCACAAATAACATATCACCATAGAAACCACAACGACAGACCTATAGCTAATGGTTTGTCTGTGGTGTCCATATCTATAATAATAAATAATAAAAAAATAATATGCCATTTAGCAGACGCTTTTTATTGAACTCACTACCCTGGCGTTACAAGCGCCACGCTCTACCAATTGAGCTACAGAGGACCACCCTAACTGTCTAACTGTGCATTGCACATTGTTTCTTGATTATCAAAATAAATTATTTCACTAGCCCCCCGTGGGCATGTTTAATTTCTTCTGACCACTAATTTCTAATTTCCCAACTCATAATAAAATAACTAGAGCAACAAGATCCACCGTGGACAGTGAACCATACTGCAGTTTATACTGGCCTCTTATTTTCCTTTTTCCGGGTATGTTGTCAAGATCGATTGAATTGCCCTCAGATTACCCTGCACACACTACATCAAACCATCTCTTTAATCCTTACCCTAGAGTCTATCTCCAGGAACATGTGATACAGGAAACATATACATGTTTACATCACTACAGCTCAAATGGAATCTGCATTTCAATTTGGAAAATAAGAACAGAATTTCCTGAATTTGAGGTCTTTGAAAACCGATCAGCAGCGGCAGTTTATCGACCTTGACGGTTCATGATTAATGCTGAGTTTTCTACTAGTATGAGGAGGATGGAGAGGAGAGAATCATTATTCTGCATGGTTGATTGCCTGCATTGAGAGATAGAGCCTCTTTCCCTATGAGACGCCGTGAGACGTGGGGGGGGCAGTGCTGTGCAGGCAGATGTGATGTGTGTGTGTCCGTGTGTGAGTGTGTATGTATGGTCATGTGCATCATGTATGATAGCATAGCGTGAGGCTGCTACTAGAGACGGAGGAGATAATGACAGAGACGGAGCTTCAGATAATGCTGTCGTTTCTTTCTTCCCTTCCTCAGAGAAAGAGATGATTTACTTGGTTAGAAGCTGTGACCGGGGGGTCATGCTGTGGGCGGGTGTGGGCTTGTGTGTGTCTTGAGGGTAGACCCACTCCCCCCTCCTCTCTCTCCCACTCCCTCCCTCCCTCCCTCCTCCCTCCCTCCCTCCCTCCCTCCCTCCCTCCCTCCCTCCCTCCCTTCCCTCCTCCCTCCCTCCCTCCTCCCCCTCCTCCTCTCTCCGGGTCCCCCCTCTATTAGTTTCGGGCGGGTTTAAGACCTGAAAAGAGGGTAAAAGGTTTAGAAATGGGGGGGGTAATCTCTCCCTCTAAAAGTCAGGGAAAGGCTTTATCCCCAGCCGACAGGTGGGTTTTAGAGGTGGTTTTTCCGTTTTTCCCCCCCAAAAATCGAGTTTTTTTTCCCTGTCCCCAAAGAAATGAAAGGGAAATTTTGAGGCTGATTAAAAACCTCTCACGTACTTTCCCAATTTTTTTACAACACCCCAAACTGCACAAGTAATTTTTAAAAATTTTACAGATAGTTCAACATCTCTCCATTTAAATTGTGGGGCCCAAAGTACCAAAACGTTGTTGTTTTTTTCCCTTTGGACCCCCTTTCCCCCCAAAAATTTTTTAAATTACATGGGTTTTTCAGGGAAATACAATTTAACTGTAAATAAGATGAATCGCATTAAAAATTAGTTTTTGTCCTTTTTTTACATAGTCCCAAAAAAATTTTTTGGGAACCCATTAAAAATCTCCCCTTCATACCAATAACCCCTCCATTATTAATTAGTCCAAAAGGGGTTTTTATTTTGTTTAAAAAGGGATTTAGGTTTAAAATTAGGTGTGGATTTTTTTGTATCCAGGGGGGGCATTTTCACGAAATGTATAAATTTAATTGTTTTTTTTTAAAAAAAATAGGGTTTTTTAACCCGACAAAAAAAAAAACAAAAACTAAAATTTCTTTTTAGTTTTTTTATGTATGAAAGGGTTTTTCTTTTGTTTTTTTAGCTTTGGATATAAATTTGTTGCAAAGCATATTTTTCTCAACATAGATCGGCCCTGTATAACATTCTAAACAAAGTGCAATGCTGTCAGAAACCATAATTGCAAAAAAAACCCAAAGTTTTATGGGAAAATCTATTAAACCCCTTTTTTTTAAAACCCTTTTAGAGAGGGGCCCCCCTTTTTTTTTTATTTTTTTTTTAAAGTTTTTTTACATCCAATTTGGGGTTTTTACAATTTTTCCCTTTTTGGGTTCAACACTTTTAATTTTAAATTTTACTCCAATGCCCCAAAAAAGGTGCCAAAAAGTAACCCTTTCCCCGCCAACTTTGGGCCCCTTTTTATTTTTGGGCCCCCTCCCCCCGGTTTGTTGTGAAAAGAATCCCCGAAGCAATCAAAGTTTTTTTAAAAGTGCCCCTTGTATTACATTTTAGGGGGTCACTCTTTTTCTCTCCCCTGTCACCCTCCCTTTACCCACCCTCTCAAAGGGCCCCCCTCTCACTGTTTTCCCCCTCTTTTCACTTTTAAACCCCCTCCTGTCCAAACCCCCCCCTCCCTGGCTCTCTCTCCCCTGTCCCCCCTCTCACTGTTTACCTCCCCCTGACCCTCCAATGTCCCCTCCCCCTGCACCCTCTTTACTGTCCCCTCTCCCGCCCCCTCCACTGTCCCCCCTCTCACTGTCACCCTCTCACTGTCACCCTCTCACTGTCACCCCCCTCCTGTCACCCTTCACTTCACCCTCTCACTGTTTCCCCCCCCCACTGTCCCCTCCCACGGGCACCCTCTCATGGGCACCCTTTCACTGTCACCCCCCCTCTCACCCGTCAAACCCCCCCACTTCAACCCCCTCACTGCCCCCCCTCTCACTTTTCAAAACCCCCCCACTGTCAAACCCCCCCATGTCCCCCCCCCTTTAAATGTCACCCTCCTCACTGTCACCCTCTCACGTCACCCTCCCCACTGTCACCCCCTCCCCCGGGCACCC